TCATGGGTCCAGCATTATCTACTTCGTGTGCCTGGTGTGAACCCTTTCATACCTTTTTCTAAATTGTTGCTGCACTGAAATGAATCTGTTGAAAATATAGAAAACTGTTAGCTATTTTTTATTTTATTATTATTATTATGTTTTTGCAGCACTGGGAATTGAACCAAGAGTTCTGCACATATGAGGCAAGTGCTCTATTACTGAGTTACATCCTCAGTTTTCTTTTTACCTTTTTATCTATCTATCCATCCATCTATCTATCTATCTATCATCTATCTATCAATCATCTATCTTTCTGTCTATCTGTCTGTCTATCTATCTATCTATCTATCTTGAGGCAGGGTCTCTCTATGTATCCCTGGCTGTCCAGGAACTCAGAAATCTGCCTGCCTCTGCCTTCTGAACTGGAATGAAAAGTGTACACCAATGTGCCTAGCTTATGCTTTATTTAAAGACGGGGTCTCACTGTTTGAATTTGTTGTACAGCCTAGGTTGGCTCTGAACTCTCTGTGCAGCCCAGAACCAGTTTTGAATTTTATATTCCTCCTGCTTCAGCCTCCAAGTAGCTGGAATGACAGGCAAGAGGCTGGTGCGGGGGGGGGGGGGGGGGGCGGGAATTTTTTTTTTTAATTATCCATTTTTTTTTTTTTTCTTTTTGGCTCTGTTTAAGACAGGGTCTCTCTGTGTAATCCCAGCAATCCTGGAACTCACTCTGTAGACCAGGCAACCTCAAACTCACAGAGATTTGCCTGTTTCTGCCTCCTGAGTGATGGGATTAAAGGCATGCGTCACCACCGCCCAGCCCATGTGTTTTTGTATCCTGGCCCTTCTTAATTCTTTTTTGCCTCTGCCCAGCACCTCACTGTACAGAGTGGGTTCTTGCCTATGTCCTGCTTCCCAGTGGAGGGTAAAACAAGCATGGACACTTGAAGTCCCTCCCAGCCCACCGCAGGCCACGCTCGATAACTAGCTCCCCGACCTTTGCTATGGCCCAGATCCCTTATCTGTAGAAAGGAAGAATTCTGCAGCCTGGGCCTGTTTCACAACACTGTGGTTGGGTTCAAACCAGAAAGAAAGAATCAGGCAGGCTCACAGGACATTTTCAAATGCGCTTGTAATCTCCCTTGTAATTTGCTAATCCCTTGGAGGAGCAAACCAGATCAGGCCCCTGTCTCATTGAGAAAGCCCCAGTGACGGATTGGCCCCAGCTAGCACATGGCACAGTGGGCCTGCACCCTTAAGCTCCGGAAACCAGTCACCTACGTGGACATCACATTCCTGCCCAACCTCATGGAACTGAAGATACGAATCAAAGCCACCAGAGAGCCAAAGAGGGTGAAGAAAGAGGAAATAGGGGAAAGTGAGCGCTCCCCCAGCTTGTCAGGGAGAGGAAGGATAAAATGACATTGAAATGGTCCACGGGCTAAGAATCACACGGTGGAAGGGTCTGTGGGCTCACACAGGAGGGTATGTGTTCTCTGTAGCCTGGGACAAAGGAAGCGGCCTCAACAGAGGAACAGGTAAACAAAGGACTACCACACAGTGGGGGGTGGGAATAGATTGGCATGTTCTGCCTGTCATGCAGAAACCTTTGAACAGGGCTGGGAAGATAGCTCAGGGGGTCAAGAGCTTCCTAGAGGATCTCAGTTCTGATTCCCAGAATCCAAACAAAAGCTGAACACCTAGTCAGGTGTGGCCAGGTGTGGCGCACGCCTTCAGTCCCAACACTGGGGAGGCAGAGGTAGGTGGATCCCTGAATTTGAAGACAGCCTGGTCTGCAGAGCAAATTCCAAAACAGCCAGGGCTACACAGAGAAACTCTGTCTCAAACAAACAAAAATAACAACAACAAAAAACAAACAAAAAAGCTGGGCACAGCAGTACACGTCTGGAAAGCCAGCACTGGGGCAGGTGGAGCAGGCAGATCCCAGGGACTCACAGCCAGTGTCTAGCAGAGAAGGTACACCCCATATCCAAATGAGAGAGCCTGTCTCAAAAAATAAGCAGGAGACCAATTGAGGAAGACACCCAGCATCGAACTCTAGCCTCTACTTGAGTGGCAAGCCCAGCCCCCCAGCCCCCGCCACACACACACACACACTTTTAGCACTAACACAGAACAGAAAAACCATACTACTTAAACCAGGCATGAATGGTGCACATTTTTAACCCCAGCACTCAAATGGTAGCCATACGTGGATCTCACTGAGTTTGAGGCCAACCTGAGCTACATAACTGAGACCATGACTCAAAAAAAAAGAAAAGAAAAAAAGAAAGAAAGAAAGAAAAGAAAAGAAATGAAGGAAGAAAGAAAGAAAGAAAGAAAGAAAGGCATATGCTATCCAGTTCAGGTTTTATAAAGACGGCCATCAGAACTGGCCAGGTGGCTCCGTGGGCAAAGTGCTTGCTGGGCAAACAGGACATGAGTTTAAAGCTGTAGCACCACATTAAATGTTGGGCATAGCTGAGAGTACCTGGAACTCCCAGCCTATGGGAAGGCAGAGACAGGAGGACGGCTGGGGTTCGCCAGCCGTCTACTGGCTCATACACACACACATATGTGTGTGGGCACACACACAAACAATTGTATATACATATATTGAAAAGTCTAAAAAGATACTATGCCTATGATAATAACATCAGAAGAAATTTCTCTGTGTGTATGTGTGTGTTGTAAGCCAGGGCCTGTTAGCTGCTGGGTAACTGCTCTGCCACTGAGCTATACCCCCATGCTGAATTTTTTCTTTATAATTTATTTTTAATTTTATGACATCGGTGTTGCCTACATGTATGCCTATGTGAAGGTGTCAGATCCCCTGGAACTGGAGTTACAGATAGTTGTGAGTTCCCACGTGGGTGCTTGAAATTGAACCCAGGTCCTCTGGAAGAAGAACACCACAAACGATGGGTGGGTGCTGGCAGGTGATCCTATCTACAATGGTTGGAACATTAGGAGTTTCTTTTGGGTGGTCTGTTCCTGGATGGTGCCAGGGTGGTCTCAGTTTGTGGTCTTTCTTAGAACCAGGTATTGCTTTAGGGTAAACTACTGAGACTCAGGCCTCTTTTGAGCTCGTCATGGCTGGGTCCTACATGAGCCATCTCTCCAGCCCTGTTTTGTTTTTTTCTTAAACAACCAAGTATTCCTGCCTTTTACATAACAACTTCTTTAAAAAAAATAAAACAAAAAGCATAAAACATGAAAATTCAAAAAACAAGGCTTCCATTCAAGTCGCAAAGAACGAAAGTGGCCAAAGTCAACTCCGGGGTCCCTCCCTGCTCCCCTCCGCCCCCACCCACCAGCCAGCCGCTGAAGTGAGCTTTCTTCTCCCACGGGAGGTCGGCTACACTCCAGCCAGGGCGTCTAAGAAGCCGCTGTCTTGGGCTAGGCGTGTCTTCCTGTCTTCCTTCCTTCACGCCACTCAGCCCCCGACCAATCGCCTTCGGGATTTTCACACGTAGGGTGCTGGAAGCCGCTCACTCGAACTTAAAGCCCTAAGCTTCTAGCTGTAGAACAACTCCGCCAAACACTGTTTTCCTTCTCAAAGCCCGGGGCAGATGCCCCCCACCCCACCGATCTGACTGGCATGTGCAGTCCCAACGCTAACACGTTAACACCCCACCACCCCCACCCCAGCAGACATCCTTAGTCTCTGTGCCAACCCAGGAAAGAAAACACTCCTGAAGGGAGCCTGGGAACCCAATAAAGAAAACACTCCTGAAGGGAGATTTCCCCCCTCATCCCCAAATACGAGGAACAGGGGTCACGTACTCGCTCCACCCACAGCAGGCTGGGTGAGGAGCAGGCAGCCAGCCCACGTGCTGGGTACTACACAGGGTCCGGTCTTGGCGTTGCCGAAACCACAGGCTGCCACTGAGGCAAGGCAGTCACCGCTACTTTGCTAATTCTGATGCTCCAATGAAGAAGGGTTTCCCTCTACCCCAGATCCGGCAACCCCCGGGACCCTGGGACTTCTTTGCGACCAGCCCGGAGGACCTTCAGGTGCAAGGATTGAAAATCCAAAGCACTAGAAATGACAGTGTGACCAAGAGGACTCAGAACTGCCAGCCAGAACTCCAGGAAAGCCACCTGTAGCTCCATCTGGAAGGCCAGCCAAGTCCTGGGAGGTGGCAGCCAGGCCTACGAAGGAGCAGCCTTCATTCATTCCCTCCTTCATTCACCTACGATGGGGCACAGTACACGAAGCCGTTCTTAAATTCCCAGTAAACAAACCGGCTAAGAAGAAAGATGTCAATCAACTCCTGTAACAAGAGCCCCATCTATATCCCAGGTCCAGTTCTAACTGGATGTTCCCTAAAGGCCAGCCTCGGTTTCCCCTTCCGGGGTAGCTCAACGTCTCGAAAACACCCTTAGCTGGAGTGTAATAACACGATAATCTCCAGGACTTAATGAGCTCCGGGCTCATTCGGAGGACACAGGTTCCCAGGGCAGAGTCTGTGACTTTCCGGCACCGCCCGCCTAATATATAGGTCCCCGGTTGAAAGGGCAACGAAACCTAAGGCTCATTGAGATCAAGAGGGAGGCCGGACTGCCTGCCCTCACAGACCTGGGTACTGTCTGTCTCTGCCAGAGCGTGGGGGAAGAAAGCTGCTTAACTCTTCAGGCTGGCAGGCAGCGTGGGGGCGAGCCAGGGCATCGCTGGGGCATCTCGGCGGGAGGAGCCAGGCAGAGCACCCACCGAGACTGGGCGTCCGTGGGAGCCTTACAGAGATACAAGGGACACCAGCTGCCCACTACCCTGACGGAGGTCACTAGATTCAGTCACCTGTCAGGATGTATAGAAGGGCTGGAGGTCAGGGCAGCAGCAATCGAAACTCAGGAACAACCAGGCCACACTTCTGCTCCAGTAAGAAGGGTCAGGGACGCTGGTGACTCAGACCTCCAAGCCTCCGGGGTGAATCTGAGCCTCTCTGGTGGTGGGAAGGTGGGAAGCGCCACTGTCCCACCCTGCGTCCCGCTTCCCCGGAGGACGCATCACTCACCTTCAACACCTCCTGCTTCATGAGCGAGGGCATCAAGAGGATCATAACAACGCCAAGCGCAGCGCACAGCACCCCCAGGACGCCGAGCCCCACCGCCACCCAGCGCGCCCTGGCGCTGCCGCCCATGTCCGCGTGCGCGGCCCGGGCTCACGGAGCTCAGGACCTGAAGGGGACAGCGACAGAGACGACGGAGGCCACAGAGATGACTGAAGCCGAGGCTCACGCTTCAGCAAGGTGAGTCCCAGTCCGTGGCCAGAGCAGCAGTAGCCCTGCAGGTGGCCAGAGGCTTTATGCGCCATGGCCCGGGCAGCCCGCCCCCTCGCTCAGCGCGGGATTCCGGAGGGGGATGGGGGTGGGCGGGGAGTGGGCGGTGCTCTGGTGGTGAGTTATGGGCGTGGCCTCCATCTGAAGCGGCCCCTCCGAGAGGCGAGAGGCGCAGCTCTCTGAACCAGCGCACCGTATGCCAGGATCCCGGCTCTCTTGTGCTTCCTAGTCTTTCGCTTGTCAAAGTGGGAACCGACGCGTTCCCACAGAGCGCAGAAGCCCCTGATACCGTCTGCACTGGCTACCCTCACTCTGACGTTGCTATCTCTTCTCCCCCCCCCCCCCCCCGACTCATGCGAATGCCTCCGGCTCCAGCATCCGCTGCCTTGCCTCAGTTGCAGTCATCTGGGCCCTGCCTTCAGGCCACTTACGCCCTCTACTCCGAATACCGGGTCCCTCCCGACCTTTGTACACCCTCCATTCCGTGTCTGTCCTGACTTTTGCACGCTAGCCACTCGGAATTCCGTGTCTTTCGGGACATTTGCACACCCTCCACTTGGAATTCCGTGTCCTTCCCAGCCTTTGCACACCCTCCACTCAGAATTCCAGGTCCCAGACTCCCACTGGCCCTGACTCCGTCCAGGAAGGTATTCTGGGGTCTTATCAGGCAGAGATGCCTCGCCTGACCACTGTGCTCCCCGGTGACTCTTCCTTATCACCCAGTGCCACCGGCTCAGTTACGCTCAGTTGGGCGCGTTTTTGTTTTTTTTTTTTTTTTTTTTTTTTGGTCATAAACCCCACTCAGGATACCAGCAATGCGCAGTTAGCTCATGCTCACTCGGCACTCAGCCAGAGCCTCTAATCCGAAGTTTCTCAACATGTGGGTCGCGACCCCTTAGGGAGCTCTAAGGACCCTCTCACAGGGGGGTTGCCTAAGACCATTGAAAGTATCAGATATTTACATTGCGATTCATGACGGTAGTAAAAGTACAGTTATGAAGTTGCAAAGAATAGTTTTATGGTTGGGGGGGACACCACAACTCGAAACTGAAAGGGTCAAAGCGTTAGGAAGGCTCAGAACCACTGCCCTAATCCTAACATCTCTGTGTTACTGTCAAGAAAAATGGGGCACAGGGCAACTTACTCGGTGAGGTCAAGACTGCGTCCCACTCAGGACACGAAGGGTGGATAATCGCAGCTGAGAAAACCCAGTCCCACACATGTAGAGTGTCACCACCACCTCCCTCTGGCAACCTCTTACAGACTAGATCCCTGGCTCCCTCAAGTGTGCTGCTGCCCTGTAAAACTCCTGGGCCACACAAGAATGTCAGTGTCCCTGACCTCAGGTGCCCCCAAGCTAATACTCCTAAGAATATGGGCCACTCCGGCTTTCGTTAAATCCCAGAAGGGCTCCTCTTGGGAACCACCTTCAGCAAAATGTCCCCAAGTCAGGATTTACTGAGTATCTGGTAAATTCTGGAGAGACAGCCAAGCATCTTTCCAGCCCCGAACCTCCTTCAGGGGCATGGATTGGGAACAGGCGGAGAGGATCCTGAACTGTAGCAACTCCCACCCCAGAGCCCTGAGGCCCCTCTGCACCTCAAGGAAGCAATCAGAACTGCTCTCCTCAGGCTGCACTCGATTTAGAGTTTTAAGTCATTGGTAACTGGCCAGCTTCTGAGCCTAGAATGTGCAGGTATGACCATAGTTACCGGTCCCAGGCCCCGCCCCCTTCTGCCCCTGCGTCCACTGGACTCCCAGCCTCCTGTCTGTCTTTCTCCTGTGTCTGTGTGTGTGCATGTTTGTGGGTGCACCTGAATGTGCCATTTGGGACAGAATATCCTACTGGGAACTGGCTGGCCATCCAGCCCCAAGGATCTTCCCTCCTGACTCTGCCCCCGCCCCCAGCACTGGAACTACCAGCATTGTTTGTTTTAGATTTATTTATTTTATGTGTGCAAGTGTCTTTCCTGCATGTACATCTGTGTACCATATGCGTGCCTGGTGCCCTCAGAGGTCAGAAGAGGGCATTGGATCTCCTGGAACTGTGATTGTGGGTGCTTGTGAGCTGCCATGTGGGTGCTGGGAACTGAACCCAGACCCACTCTGCGAGTGCTCTTAACCACTGAGCCATCTCTTCAGTCCTGTGCGTTTTATTTGAATAGGGCTGCTGGGGATCAGTCTCAGATCATGAGGTTTGTTGCAGCAAACACTCTATCAACATCACCAGTTCCCCAGCTCTTTCCAGTTTATTCTAGTCTCTACCCTTGCTGTTCTTGCTTCTACACAACTGTTTCTCAAGATTCTTCTGTGTCTCACTCCTTCTCTCCTCAAGCCAAAGCCTGCTCATCCAAGAAGGCTTTACGTCTAATCTGATGAAAATGGGAGTCCTTACAGGCATGGTGGTGCATTCCTGTAATCCCAGCACTTGGGAAGTAAAAATGGGAGAGGCAGGAGTTTGAGACCAGCCTTGGCTACACAGGAAGTTCAAGGACAACCTGGGCTACGCGAAAATCTGTCCCCAAAAAGCCAAAGAAAGGATCTGGTGAGGTGGCTCAGCGAGTAAAGACACAAACTGGGTGGCCTGGGTTGGAATCCAAGAACCTCTGGTGGCTGGTGAGGACAGACTCAGGTGCCACAATAACAATAATTAATAAAATTCAGACTGGAAAAGAAGAAAATGAGCATTCCATCCATTTGAATTTGAAATGTTTTTATAACTCTAAAGAGAAAGTTTTTTGGTTTTTTTTAGTGGATTTTTTTTATTTGTGTGTTTGTTTCTCAAGACAGGGTTTCTCTGTGTAACAGCCCTGGCTGTCCTACAACTTGCTCTGTAGACCAGGCTGACCTCAAATTCCAAGATCCACCTGCCTTTGCCTCCCAAGTGCTGAGATTAAAGGCGTGGGCTACCACCACCTGGCTTTATTTTCTTTTTTAATTTTGGTTTTTTTGTTTTTTGTTTTGGTTTGGTTTGGGGTTTGTTTTTGTTTTAATTTTTTGAAACAAGGTTTCTCTGTAGCTTTGAAGCCTGTCCTGGAACTAGCTCTAGTAGACCAAGCTGGCTATGAACTCACAGAGATCCGTCTGTCTCTGCCTCTCGAGTTCTGGGATTAGAGGCATGTGCCACCACTGGCCGGCCTTTTTTCAATTTTGTGTATGCGGGCAGTTTCACAAGAAGGCCAGAAGAGGGAGTTGGATCTCCTTGAACTGGAGTTACAGGCCGTTGTGAGCCACCATGTGGGTGCTGGGAATCGAACTCAGATCCACTGCAAAAGCTGCAAGTGTTCTTAATCACTAAGCCATCTCTCCAGCCCAGAAGCTGGTCTTTTTTTTGAGTATCAGTGTATCCCTGGCACCTAGAACCATGCCTAACAAACTACCAAGCAGGTACTGGATAAAAAAAAAAATAAGCTTTCAAGTTGGTAAAATGCTTCACTGAGTAAAGGCATTTGCTAGTAAGCCTGATGAAGTAAGTTCAATCCCCAGAACTCACTTAGTGGAAGTCAAGAACTGACTCCTTTAAATTGTCCTCCAACCTCCCAGATACATACACGCACAACAAAATAAATACATGTGGCCAAACATGGTGGCACACACCTTTAATGCCAGCACTGAGGAGGCAGAGGCAGGTGGATTTTTTAGTTCAAGGCCAGCCTGATCTACATAGCCAGGGCTACACTGTGAGACCTTGTTCCAAAAATAAATAAGCAATAAACAAATAAATAAAACAAAACATGTAAAACACTTTCTTAAAGTTTAAGCAAACTTTTAGAAAACTCATTCATTCATTAATCATGGACTCGCTGATCCTTCAATTGATAAAATTTCACTGAAAGGAGCTGGAAAGATGAGTCAATGGTTAAAAGCACTCGCTGCTCTTCCCGAGAACAGTTTGGCTCCCAACACCCATGTTGGGTGGCTCACAACCATCCTTAACTCCAACTCCAAGGGCTCTGACCTCTCTGGCCTCCTTAGGCACCTGTACCCATGTACACAAATGCACACAGAGACATAATTAAAAATAAAATAAACCTTAAAAATAAGATGTCCTTGAGTCCCTTGAGGCCTTCACCATCCCTCAGCTCGGGCTGTTTCATTCCTGATGACGTTAGTGTTTCCTGGGAGGCTGCCAGTCAGCGGAAAGCTCAGGTCTGCCAGGTCCCAACATCCCCCCTCCTTGATACCCACTTGCCTTGACCAGCTCACGCAGTAGAAATTGTCTCCAAGTCTTCAAGGTCCAAATCTACGTGATGCTTACTTCAGAGAGCCCAAGGCCAGGGCCAGGGATGTGCTACACTGTCGTTGGATGACACACAGAGAGAACGGACATTAAAGGATGGGCAGGGCGTGTGACCAGATCCTGGCCTTGCTGAGGGAAGTCAGGGAGACAACACAGGATGGCCTAGGATGGGAGAGGAAGGTCGATTCCAGGTGACAGAGGAGGCCTGCAGTGGAGGTCCTGAGGCCCCTCAAGAAAAGGCCTGTTCTAGTTTACTTTTTTTTTCTTTTTCTTTTTCTTTTTCTTTTTGTTTGTTTTTTTTTATTTTGTTTTGTTTTTCAAGACAGGGTTTCTCTGTAGCTTTGGAGCCTGTCCTGGAACTCTCTCTGTAGACCAGGCTGGCCTCAAACTCACAGAGATCCGCCTGCCTCTGCCTCCCGGGTGCTGGGATTAAAGGTGTATACTACCTCCACCCAGCCCTAGTTTACTTTCTATTGCTGTGATAAAACACAGACCAAGGACTTGGGGGAAGAAACAATTTGTCTTGGCTTACAGCTCACAGTCCCTCCTTAGGGGAAGCCAAGGCAGGAACTCAGGACAGGGACCTGGAGCAGGAACTGATGCAGAGACCATAGAGGGGGCTGCTTCCTGGTTTGCTCCTCCTGGCTTGCTCAGTTTACTTTCCTGTACAGCCCAGGACCACCCACCTAAGAGAGTAGCACCACCCACAGTGGGCTGGACCATCCCACATCAATCATAAATCAAGAAATATCCACTCTTGCCCTCAGGCCAATCTAATGGAGGTGATTCCTCAATCAGTGTCCCCTTTTCCCAGGTGACTCGAGTTTGT